TTCAAAACGTTGCAAAACGGCTATATGCGTAGCTATGTGTGGATTGATACGTGATCGGTCCCGTTTGTATTGGTCTGCACAATACAAACGTGACTAAAACTATAAACGTAGTAGGAACGTAGAAAAGCGCAGTAAAACGTAGAAGGAACGTAGAAATACGTATTAGAAACGTACCTGATACGTACTAAAACGTATTTGATTCTAATCACTAGGTGTTATTACGTTTTAGAACGTATCTGCCACGTTTCATTAGGTTTTTGTACGGTATATTACGCTTCATGTTACGCAATACTAGGTTTCGTTACGGTTTTTCTAGGCATATTTACGTGTCGATGTGTATTACTACGCATGTTTACCTTCTTCTACGTATAATCAAACCACGTTTTATCCATATTTTCCGCCATTTGCTAAAATATTTTGTCAGTCTAAGAGCAAGATGGACAGACAATGGATGGAATTGACAAATTATGAATTCTTGTTAGACACATACATTTTGCAATTGAGAATGTTGTTAAACAGGTGCAGACATAGACAAATGGATCGCAGAGTGCGCACGATATGGGTAAGGGATTGGATAGGTAGAAGATCTCAATTTGGTGTTTATGCACAGCTGTTGGATGAATTGAGATGTGAAGACATTGTTTCTTTCAAAATCGTTTTGAGAGTTGATCCGACCATGTTTCAGAAAATTGTTAATAGATTAACACCAAGGCTACAAAAGAAAGATACGTGGTACCGAAAGTCATTGCCAGTTGGTCTTTAAGTAGCAATAACCCTTCGACATCTCGCTACAGGAGACAGTTATCATTCACTTATGTATTTATTTAGGGTGCCGCACAACACGATATCCAATCTTGTAGTACAAGTCTGTGAAAGAATTATTTCCGAGTATGCTGAAGATGTTATCAACACACCTACGGAAGAAGCTGAATGGCGAGCCATTTCGAAAGAATTTAGTGATATGTGGCAGTTTCATCTTGTGCTAGGTGCACTAGATGGGAAACACGTTGCTATCAAATGTCCGGCTGGTGGTTGGTCTAAATACTATAATTATAAAGGATTCCATTATATAGTTCTAATGGGCTTGGTAGACGCTAACTATAAATTCAAATGGGTTAACGTTGGCGCACCAGGCGATTGCTCTGATGCACAAATTTGGAACCAGTCAGACTTAAAAAATCATATAATTGATGAGAATATTCACATACTACAAGCAGAGCCTCTTCCGAATGATGACAAAGACATTCCGTACTTCATCGTTGCGATCTAAAGAATTATTAAACGATCAAAGCTATATATATTGATCTAAACAATACAATAACACACTCTATCTCATAACAAGAAAACAAGAAATGCCGGAAGTACAATCAATTTTTATGAAGATCAAGCATAATCTTTCATATACAATTACTTTTAACTGAAAAATATTTACAAATGTAAGTGTGATGGGTGGATGGGTGGACGGACGGACCAAAACATTATAATACGTCCTAATGTGTAGATATAAACTAATACAAAGAGGTAAATGGTTACTGACCTACTATCATCGTCTTCTTGACTTTCCTCTTCGTCCTCATGTTCACTAGGAGAATCATATGTTCCGTATTTTGCCTTGAGTTTCTCTTTCAGCTGAAATATACAGACATAATCTGAACACATATGTATTCGTACAGAGTACAGAGAGATAGAGTCAAACGTTTTGAAATGAAAGAGCTGTAAAATGAATTTCGTACAATCAGAACATTTGGTATTATTTAGAAAAAGAAAGGGTACGGGAAAATCAACAAAGGAAACAACAATAAAAGGTCAAAGAAGTGAACTGAAATATTAAGTAATAGGAAAATGTAATGCACACGTTTACTCCTCCTCTGGTTTCTACTCTGGCAATATGGGGACCCAAGAAGCCAAATTTCTCTTTAATCCATTTGTCTCTTGGTGTATCTTCTTTTCTACCAGAACCAGATTTATTTCCTTCTCGTGTCAGTCTTCCGAGCTGAGTTCTCATTGACTCAACCCATATCCTGAGACTTGTCCTATCCTCTACCCCTAGCTCATTCTCTTTTGCTTGCCATCGTGTATTCTTGAGAGCTGTATCTTTGTACTGATAATGAGCTGAAAGAGAAGAAAAAATTCGGTCACATTAATTTTTTAACTAATTTTTTAACGGACTAACTTTGCGGCCTCTACCACGCCATCCACGACCCCTTCCTCTGCCTCTGGTCCTCATCAGAACGGTATGGTTTGAAACACACTAAAAAGATAAATCAAATACCGGTAGGAGGAAAATTGGAATTAAAACAACAATGTGCAACATAAAACATTTCAAAAGAGCAATTAACATAAAAGGAAAAGCATTGACAAGGTTCCCACGATGGCTTTGAAATTTTTTCATGATTCATGTATCCCCTCAACAAAAATGTTATCTGAAAAAAAAACCAAAAACACAAAAATCTTGCTTTTGGAGTACAAAAAAATCAAAATTTTTAGACCATAAAAGAGGGGCCTGATATGGGGGGGGGGGGGGGGTCTCATCACGATTCACGAGTTTATTTTTTTGTCAATCACGATTCACAGAAAATAAATTTCCATGATCACGGATCACAAAAATAATAATAAAAAATAAATCTGTAGAAAAACGGATCACGATAGCGAAAATGCGCCGATCACGAAGAACGAAAATTACCCATCAGGCCCCTCATAAAATAGAAACAAAATAATCTAATTGAAATGACAGATGTATTAATATTAATAAAGTGTACTTCTGTTGAAGTCTCTTGATTTTCTGGAGTTGCTTTGCTCCCTCTCTGCATCTCTGTCTTTTCTGTTTTTTATTAGTTAATGACGCCGTTTCATAGGTCAATGATCACAGCATAGTGACACGTGATACTGCGTAGAATAAACGTGCAAAACCGTAGGAAAACGTGCGAAAACGTACTTCAACCGTAATGTACTGAATTAGAAACGTACTGAACCCTTGTAATACGTAGTGAAACGTAGTAAAACGTAGTTTATACGTAATGAAACGTATAGAAACCTAGTAGAACGTGCCCCGTGTATTTATCGAAAACCTAACAAACCGTAACAAAACGTAACAATACGTAGAAGAACGTACCAAAACGTGGCATAAACCTAGTAAAATGTACGGACCGTTAAAAAATGACAAAAAATTACAAAAAATTACATGAAACGTAGCATTTCTAAACGTACTAAAACCTAGCTGTCGAAACGTGACAGTGTGACTGGGGCTTTAAGAGGGTAAAACACATAAGAAGTCAAAATTTGAATGAAATTCATATGGGTGGGTATAGATTTTAAGATGTTTATAATAATCAGAACGAATTACAAATCAATTGGATTTTGGCATCACAGTAGCAAAACTGTAATGTTCGGGGAAATTAAGCATAACGTTTATATCTTAAAGATAAAAAAAAACATAATTGAAGAAAGCAAACCAGTTAATATTGAGAATTATTTCTCCATTTGTACATCTCCACAACAAAGGAACCAAATTACTAATTTACGATGGCAATTAGTTACATGTTCATTGTATAAACATGTCATTGAGCCTTAATGTAAATATATTGTATTTGTATTGAATGACCCTATTGAATCCGCCTCTGAGATTCCGGCCAAGAGCCTATAATTCAATGGTCGTCTTTGATTGCTGTCTACCATGTTTTGCATGTTTTCATTTCTTGCTAGTATAGATTAGATCTCTTGTTTTTATCTTTTTTAATTAGCTCACGTTTGTTCATCCTATACGGTCCTATACGGTATGGGGTTGCTCATTGTTGAATGTCGTACGGTAAACGTTTTAAAAAATGATATCATATTGGCAGTCGGACGCGTCTATAGATCCGTATGATCAGCCAGTGCTATTTGCATTTGTCGAGCAATTGTATTTTCCTACCAATTTACACTTTCATATAGATAATGAAACTTCTTACATGTACAAAATACCTCCAAGAATATTTCAACAATACAACGGATATAACATAGATATAAGAAGATGTGGTATGAGTGCCAATGAGACAACTCTCCATCCAAGTCACAATTTGTAAAAGTAAACCATTATAGGTCCAAGTACGGCCTTCAACACGGAGCCTTGGCTCACACCGAACAGCAAGCTATAAAGGGCCCCAAAAATGACTAGTGTAAAACCATTCAAACAGGAAAACCAACGATCTAATCTATATAAAAACGAGAAAAGAGAAACACTTATGAACCACATCAAAAAACGACAACCACTGAACATCAGGTTCCTATTCATATTGCTTTATATAAAAATAAGAAGATGTGGTGTGCTTGCCAATGACACAATTATCCACCAAGTTATGCATGTTATGGTGATAAATTATTTTTTTAAACATGTATATTGGTTAAAAACATATGAAAGCATACTTTAATACATGCAAAATTCATTTGACCAATACAATATTGTCGCAATGAATCGTACAGTATAAAAAGTGTAATGATAACAAACCGTACACGATCTTAATTAGTTTGTTAATTTTAAACAAGGGTATTTTCAAAAATGTATGTTTTAAAAAATATGAGGCACAAGAAACTGAAAATTTTGATTAAATAAAAACATCAAGCATGCTTTTATCAGTGGCATGGTCGTGCGTTTTTTATTGTTTGCCTATAAAAATATCACATATTTGAAAAACCTTGCAGCAAGTAAGAGTAGTACGGCAAAGAATATTTTGGAGCAAAATATCCGAAGAATAAATATTGGACTTTCTTTAAAAGTGTAAATTCTCCACAGTCTGAACTCAGTGTTACAGTGTGTTCGATTCGAACGCGTCAAACTCCGGATTCATTTGTATCGGGGTTATACGGGGTGAACATGTGTTCGATATTTTCGAGAAAAAAATTATCAGTATTTTTTTTTTAATTTTACCTAACGTTAAACTCGTTTCTTATCTATTTTGTTTTGTTTTAAACAATTAAATTGTTATTGTACTTTAAAATAACTTTTGCTTTGGGTTTTTTTACAGATGTATCCAGTGGTTTCAGGCGATATTGATGGTAACGGTAACCTTAATGCAACCTTGATTTATGGATTGACCCAAAAGTTAAGGTCAAAGCTTATAACACAGGTATTTGCAATGAGAATAACATTTATAAATTTAATGCGTCGGAAGCGCTTTCCGGGATTTAATTTACAAAGGAATGTATATACCCACAATTTTCTACACCCAAGGATATTAAGTTACTTGAAGAGCTTGTTAAGTTACTTGAAGAGCTTGTTAAAATACTTGAAGAGCTATTTGAACACAAAGAATTGCATAAACCTTCGAAGGTCAAGTTAAACTGGGAGAATTGGAACCTTTGTTTAGTTTACACATGTGAATATGATAATATTTCAATCAAGGCTAGAACATTCACATATCTTCATCAGCCAGAGTTAAGTGGAAAATACATGTCTGTTCAAAACGTAAAGACTCTTTAAAATACACGCATAAACATCTATAGACTTTTGCGATATTGAAAATTCAAAATCTATCGGAAACACTGTTTGATTGCCAGAATTCAGACATCGGAATAAAGGGGTTTGTATAATTTAGGCATGTAGGAGCTGGGGCATTGAAGAGGCAAAACTGACTAATTTCTAGAGTAATAGACTATAGAAAAAGGTTTTTCTTTTAAACATATTGCAATGCCCCCCCCCCCCCCTTCCCCCCAGAAACACACACACACACTTACTCTTTTCAGTCTAATCCTACGCAATTTCAAGACTTCACAAACAATCTACTGCTCGAAAATATATATGACTTGCACTTTTTATTTTAATAAAATGTTATTTTGTTAGCTATGTCTTTAATATGCACTGAACTGGGACAATTTATATGTTTCGTCTTTTTTGTCTATTTTGACTAACTAACTTTTGCAAAAATTCATATATACCTATAAAAATTGGCGGAAGATACCATTTAGGCATTTTTGCGCCTGTCCTATGTCAGGAGCCTCTGGCCTTTGTTATTCTTGTATGTTTTATTTTTATTTTAGTTCATTTATATGTTTGTGTTTGGTGTGACGTCCGTTTTCATTGAGCTGGTGCACATTTTGTTTGGGGGCCAGCTCGGGCTGGCCTCCGGTGCGGGATTTTCTCGCTGTGTTCGAGACCCATTGGTGGCCTTCGGCTGTTTTCTGCTCTTTGATCGGGTTGTTGTCTCTTTGACACATTCCCCATTTCCATTCTCAATTGTATTAAAAAGACGAAAGGAAGCAGATAACGCCAAACGAAAGACGCAGAATAGAAAAACAAGTCCACAAAACACTACATTGAAAAACGAAAGACTGACAAATATGAACCCCACAATGTTGCACAAAAAAACTGGGGGTAATCTCATATTCCCGAAATGATAAGCATATCCTTCTCTACTCTATCTATTCTTTAAAATGGTAACATCATAGAGAACTAAACTTTACATTTTAATACTCGATATTGATCTTGATATATATAGTATAGATACATCTCTATTTATTAAGGCCGTGTGCATATTGCTTGAGTGCATGGTTTGTGAGAATTCATATTAAAGATAGATTTGACTTTCATATCAAAGAGGATGTGCCAATGTTACCGTAATTTATTTAACAATACGGCCATTTTAAACGAAATGTTAATCTTAAGTTAATGTAACAGCTTCACGGCTCTATGTTTGCAGTTTGAGAATCTTACAATAGTATGGCTAATTATATAGCCCAAAACCGCAAGTTTGACAAAAATTGGTAAATTATGAGTATTTATCCAAAAATGTATTAGAAAGATATTCATAATCAAAACAAAAATTATGTTGGAACTAATGTTGTAAATTGTCAGTTATATGTTATTTCATTTTGATTAGGGACGTCCTGCGATGTTTTTATAAAAACATTTAAGATGTATATTTCTGCATCAAACTGACTTCAAAATAGAAAGCCAAATTCCAATTAGATTTCATGGAAACATGATTAAAATTGTTGAAAAAAAGTATACAATTTCCAGTTGGACTTGACAACTTTAAGATTTTTACTCCGTGAGTGAAACAAATACAATCATGTATACAGGGGAAATTTGTCATACCACTTTCCTTTAGTCTTATTTCAATTTTCCATGAGTAATGACAGAACATAATGTTGACAGACTTTGACATAAAATTTTAGCTCAATTACAGAATGAATCGGTATCCTGAAACCACCACTGGTGACATGTATAACTAATGAAGTATAATTTGTGAAACACAAAATTTAACTAATCCTTACAAGCATTTAACAAATACCAAGGAAAGGGACAACATTTTATTTTTGATTAAAGCGTTTACTTAAAATAATTTTTCATAGTCTCGTTATCAAACAATTCTTCTATAAAATGATATGATATAGCCAAGGAAAGCAAAAAGATACCAAAGGGAAGTTCAAACTCACAAGTCGAAATTAAACTGACAACGCCATGACAAAATACAAATAAAAAGGACGAAAGGACAAACAACAGTATACAAAACACAACATAGAAAACTAAAGACTGTGCAAAAGAAACCCACCAAAAACTAGGGGAGGTGTCAGGTGCTCCGGAAGAGTAAGCCAATCCTGCTCCACATGTGGTACCCGTCTAGTTGATCATGTGAGTATAAACCTGGTGATAATTCCAATTCTGTAGGTCACATTCGAGGAAACAGGACGGGATGTGGTTACGACAATTGGAACATATTCGTCGTCATCTGTGAAACAGATATTCCGTTATGGTCAACCAACTCGCGATGGCGTCCGTTAGATTTTCGAATTGGTGATTTCAACTCCACCACTTGGAACTCTTGGTTTAATAGCTTGCTAGGGAGCAGCAACCCTGTATCAAGGAAATCATGATAGGAAATGCAAGCTTTGGAATATCGTATCAATAAGAATACACATATTCCATATGCAGGCGTTGCTGGAATGTTGTTACATAGAAATGGAAAGTTCACAGTTTGGAAGCTGTGTATTGGACACGGTGTTTTGAATATAATTAAAAGATACTACTAAATATTATAAGTATTGGTTTGCCCACTTTTAATTATGCCAATTATCTATTAGTAAAGAAAACAAAAAAGACAAAAGGTTTAATGAACATACAATTGTATAGTCTGTTCCAACTTAGGTATATAGTTTATTAGTGTTTTCTATAAATTCAGGTATTTTTTATTTTGTAATTTTATTTTCATTTGTATTGAAAAATAAAAAAATCAAATATTTTTTCTCTCAATAATTTAATATCAATTCAATCGATTCATTTAACATACATGTACAACTAATGACTAAACAATGACATTCAGTTATAAAAGTGTCTTAATAATTCATTAGTTTCTGAATGATTTTCATGATATAAATACACCAATACAAGTTCTCTTTTATTGCAAACATAATTTATATAATATATGAATCAAGTTTATAAATGCATTGCATAAGGAAATAAATAAAGCACTATGGTAAAATAAGTAATATGGGGCACTATATGAATAATGATGGGAAATACAATATTTTATATATATTCACAAAGTCACAAAACATTATAATTATATTCACAAAGTCACACATTACAATATTTCACTAAGTTGTTCAGTTCAAATGGAGGAGATGGGATGCTGCGTCAGAGCACGCTGATGAGTCCTTGTTGGTATCTGTCTTTCAGTAGTTGGAGTCTGGTGTCTATTACTCTGTATCTTCGTCTTTTTGGTAGGCGGGCTCCTCCTGTTGCATACTGGATAATATTACATTCTGTTAGTACCTGGTAACTCAATGATCTCGTAGGTGTTGGGGTGGGCATGTTGGAGTCTCTTCTTAATTTTGTTGTGCCATCCTTCAAGGTGATTGGTGGTGCGTGGTCCTTCTGTGTGGTAATGGTTTTATAGAAAGCGGTATACTTCAACCCATAACTCTGTCACGTAATCAGTAAATGATGTTGTAGCGGGTATGTTGTCAGCTTCAACAATGTCTTCTAAAGTTGTAAGCCAAACATCCTCAACAAGGTGGGGTAGAACAAGAAGTAATACTGCGGCTCGTCGTATAAGTCGAGTGATGTCTTCATTTTTTTTACAATACGACTATAGTCCACATTCCTGTGCCTTTCGCCAAATACACTGGGTAAAGTGGAAGAAGCAGCCTTTCACGGTTACCCCTGGGAACACTGTCCGTGCTGCGTTGTTGGTTACTGTCTCGTAATCAATAAATACTGTTTCTGGTTGAAGTTGTAACTGATGTTGTTGAGCGATGTATCGTATGTGGCCGAAGAAGCGTGAATAGATGACCTAGTCTTTTCCTGGTAGTAGAGCATACACTAGTGGGAACGTAGAACCATCTACCATTGCATGAACTGTGTACTACAGCTGATGGAAGATAGTTGGACATGAGTAGAATGTGCCGCCGCAGAAGATCGTGTTGGCAGCAGCAAGGTGTGTTAAGTTGTTTGTTTTTGAGAAGATTAGTATGGTCGGGTAGATGTTGTCCGACGGTAAAAGGAACTGTTGTCTTGTAGTAGTAAGGCAACATTCATCCTGCAGGTCGATGTCGATAGTTGTTTTGGGTAGGAAGGGTCTGTTGAGTGACCTTTGGTGGTAGAGTGATGTCTTGCAGTAGTAATAGGTTAATAAACTTAGAGTGTTGGCAAATTTCCTGCATGACATTATGTAATGAAATTCGTCCCCAATTTCATTCAAGTCGCATAATGTGCAAATTCTTTTTTCGCGTTGGATATTTTGCCATCTTCCTTGTTCAATGGGCAACTTGTGATTTGTTGTCCTAAACTTGCAGAGTTCAATTATTTCGTTGGTTTCTAAAATATTAAAATAACTCTCAAATTCACGTTTTTGTTTGAATTGCCGGTAACAAAGTGATTTTGACGAATTTTCCATTTCACTATGCCAATTTTGTTCATATTGATCTTAAACAACTGTTTTTACCAACCATCCCTTGTTAATAAAAGTTTGTGTGTTCCATACATATGCCAATCCACAATTATTGAGTATACTCATTATACTCGATAACCATGGTGACCCAACATTATTGACAATATTCAATTGATAAATCAGGTTGTATGTTATAGAGGACAGTTTCGAACTTTTATCCTCAACTAATTTTATCCAAA